GAGAAATTTACACTTACTCTAAGGATACTTTAGTTTTCTAGTGTTCTTTTAAATTCTCCTCCCTTTGAAATATATTGAATATGGGATTGGATGTTAAAACGTACGCCGTTGAAATAGTTAAATACAACACATAACACTGAGGTGTTGCTGTGTTCAGAGCAAAGTGTGCAAAAGGTGAAATCCAAGGCAAGGCTAAATGCAAGTATTGTGTATAACACAAACATGAAAGACAGTGTGGTTGAAATATGTTCCTTCTGGATGAATATATAGACAAGTCTCTTGACATTTTGTGATGCAAGGTTTTTCTTGTTGATTTTCGAAAAAAGACCACCCCCTCTCTAATCAATAGATTTGCCATCCCCATAGAAAAAGCAAATGACCTTTTAAATAACCTTACAACGGATTAAAAACAGAGATATATCAAAATATAAATATTTAAAAAAATTACTTTCAAATAAAGAGTTGTGCGTGTGGGATATTATTGAAACAATAGACAATAAGAAGGGTTTGGGTAGGACAACTATGTGTTAGGGTTGGCTGACTCTATAGAAATACAGCAAAACCGATAGTTTGGTGAAACATTGTTTAAAATTTAAGTTTGTCATCTGACAGTTAAATAAATATCACGATTGGATTGGACAAACAAACTGTTGCCAAAACTTTCTTTTTTCTTTTTCTTTTTGCGGAGTTTGTTGCTGCTCAAGGTTGTGTAAATCTTTGCAAAAATGATTGTGAAATATGTTTTGCTCATCCAGTACCAATGACAAGGTTAGTCCAATTACACACAGTGTTGTTGAAGTGAGCAGTATCTGTTTTGAGTATAAGAACAATGAGAGAGTAAGTTCGAAAAGGATTGGAAGGTTTTTTGAACAAGTGTTGACCCTGAAACTTAAAATGAATATGATGTATTAATTAGATTTCAAATAGACAGTAAATGTCTTCAGTTGATATACATTTTTAAACTACATTGTGTGTGGAGTGACTGTAACACAGATATTGTTTTATCAACCTTTCAAAAATGTTGCATCATCCTCCAGAAAAGGGTTTTTGTTGCTGTAACAAAGTACAAAACCTGACTATTTCTACTGTTGATCATTAGTAAAAGTTGTTTCATTCAATATTGCCATGAGACACAGTGCATCCAGGAAGATTCTTTTTATTGTGATGTCTGCAGACTGCCATAATTGTTATGAAAGCACTCTTTTTAAACATCTATGGGGTTTTTTATTATCATATCTGTAGTTTCTCTCTGTACCTGCAAAGTCTGTTGAAGACCTGTTGCAAAATTTTTTGCTTTCCACTTCAGTTGAAGTACTGTGAGTCCATACAAACACTCTGTCCTCTCATCTTCTACTATATTTTTCAATACTGCGAGGCACTTTCACTGACTAAAATATTGCTAGAATCCCCTTAAATATATAAATACAACTGTGAGCAGCCCTTTTCATCTGGTCGTTTTTATTGTGGAAACTAGGTATGATCGACAGGCAGCCTTGAAATGTCATTTAAAGTCATAGTCTGAAGTTTGCTTCAAATAAGTAATACATTTGTCCATAAAATTAAAATTATAAGATGTTTATGAGAAAAGGGTTCATCAAAAGGGGCCAGACATCAGAAATACTTTCAAGGTCACTTGTTCTGCCCCCCAGACCAGACAATGGCTTTACTGCTATGGAAATGAGTCCAGCTAATAATGCAGGACAGAGTGACCTTATCTACAGGGAGCCCAGGGGATTTGGAAACACCACATTTGAGCCTCACTTTCAAACACATTTGTAACACTGGAATCAGTATGTGGAATCTTTCAACAGATTACATAACAGTTGACACTGGATGTGGACAAACCATTGACAGTGGAGACAATATATAGCAGCACACAATATTTCTCAAGTATTGCCTCACCACAACAATCTTCCAAAAGGAAATTCACAGAACCCTGCCTTTCACACACCCTATCATTTCTTAATAAAATGAAAAAGGCTCAAATCATATGCAGTAGTCTGGAAGATAATATCTTCATTATAGTCAGCGGGTTATATTTTATTATTATATCTTGCCTAGATCTGCTTGAAGTGAATAAGTCAATTGAGCAATTTTATCTCATCATTTAAGCGCTGTGTGATTTATGATGGTTAAATGTAATATGGTTGCTGCTGTTTTATAAGGTACACATCAAATTAAGAAATGACCATTTCACCTTCTACTGTGCGCACCTGTATACTGTCAAGAGCAGCCTACACACATCTGGAGAATGAGGTAATTTGCCGTTTCAGTTTATTTGTTCAGGACTGACAACCAGGTATTTAATTAGGCAGATATGTAAAACTTTGTCATTTATTTTGTAAATCCTGTTACATGGTCACTTTGTGAAAGCATATCCAACTTATTATAGAAGTAAACCTTGTCTTCGCTGTTGGATAATACTGCATATCAGCTAACGGCAACATCAATAAAAAAAAACACTTGTTGGTCAAATAGTACAATAGTGTAAGTTTAACCTCAACCCAACCCAATAAAAGTATCCTTTAACAATTTTAATATCCTTAACCTTTTTGATTGACCCCACATTGAAAAACTGGGTAATTACAACAGCAAACAAACAGGTACAGAAAAGTAAAATGTGATAAAGGATGCAAGTGACATGCAGGATGTATATAAATATGTAGTCTGACCTGTACCAACAAAGAATATTTGGAAACATGAATCAGTAGCCTATCCTTGGTTTCTATTGGAGTACTCCAGGTAGTTTTTCTCAAAACTGATAGGACATGCACAACAGAAAGCAGTAATACTCCAAACCAGGATTGTGCACATGTAAACACACTCAATTAATCACAGAGGTCCAAGATCTTGAAATAGAAATCTAATGTGAGAAAATAAAATTGTCAATAAAAGCAAAACTGTCTCTCAAAGCTAAAAAAAACAATTGCTTATTGCTGTCAAATAACAGATCCTGAGGCTGCTTCTTCGCCAATAAATAGGGGATCGACTATTTATCCTACTGTGACAGCGCTGAAGTAATTTCCCAGAAATATGGATACATTTCCTGGGTCTTATCCATTAGCCATGCAATCAAACAACCAGGGTCAACATCACAACAAATCTGGAGGGGGGGAGGGGGAGTAGGGTGCCACTCACCCATACTGGAAAACTAACACACAAGGAGCACAAACACACCACAAAGAGCACACTGTGTTATGACTGCCTCCACAATTCAACACAAATCACATACAGTGACGTAAAAAAAAAAAAAAAGCACACAAATACCAGTGTTTACACGGTACTACTGAATCTACAGCACAACAGCAGCAAAAATAATGCTAACGGCAAAAATAAAGGTTTACTTACCATTAAAAGACCATCTCAGGGTGATATTCTTTCAGCACTTACTGCAGCTATTTAAAGGCAAGGTCTCTCTCACAGAACAGCTATTTAGGCCACTATCAGTCACTTCAATGTGTGAAGCAGGGCTCGTATTTTTCTGTAAAAAATGTTCCTAAGGGTAAGTGTAGACATTTTTAATGTCAAGTCAATTTCATTTATATAGCCTTATATCAGAAATCACAATTTTGACATCACAATCTCACAATATATAATCCTCTATGCTTAATCCCTCCCTTGAGGCACTGACAGTCAGGGCACAATACAGTGATGGTCCACTGTAGCCCCAGTTTGTGCCTCTCATGTATTACTATTACACTCAAATCAAATAGACAATATATTTTACATCCAGATGGTTAGAGGAGTATTTGATTCTTCAGTCTGTCTGTCTTGAGAATGCAAACTGTTGAGTAATAGATTAAGAGTAATAGATAATTGATCAGTCTCAAAGTTTTATCAGCAGTATCTAGCCACCAGCTATTTGCAGTCTTTTTGTTTTATGAGTTATGATAAATTCATTAAAGCTCAAACACACCATTTGCTCAGATAGAAGAAAATAACAAACACACACAGATTTAGAGAGACACAAGGATGACATGCACACATGGGAGAGAGAGACACACACAAGGGGGAGAGGCTGAATCTCTTAGATCCAGATCCAGAGAGACACTGACAGCCAGGGAAAGAGAGAAAGAGGTCCCAGGATGGCTGATGGTCCAGCACAGAGAAGCCTGTGTGAAAAGAGAGGACAATGAGCCGACATAAGGAGAGAGAGAGAGAGAGAGAGAGAGAGAGAGAGAGAGAGAGAGAGAGAGAGAGAGAACAACATCCCAGAACATCTATGGCTTTATTTAACGGTCCACTGTGCTGGATGACCCGACAATATCTGCTTAACTGGAATAATAAAAACAAAAGTGCACCTGTCTAACAACTCCCACATTGCCCCCTGTCGTTTAAAACCAGTAGGTACACCTCTCTTTTTCAACATGTTATGGCTGATCGGTGTACTGAATCAGAATCAGAAATACTTTATAAATAAATACCAATACTAAATACTAATATTTATTTGTTATAGTTGTTCTACTCACACATGATAAAGAATAGAAATAATAATTACAATATTTAACACAATATACATAATAGAAATGCATGTATAGGTAATATACATAAGTAAAAGTAAGGATACGAATAAAAATGGAAATATAAATATGAATAAGAGCTTAAGAGATATAATAAGATAATAAGAGCCTATATACAAAATGTAAATGTATTCCACAGTGACAGCAAAGAAAAATTAAATAGCAATAAGTTTAAGATTGTGGCTTACAGAAGTTATGGATAATTACAAGGAATGATTGAATATTTACAGAATAACATAATAATAATCAGGTGTATTGCACATTGACCCGAGTATTACACATTAATCAGCTTTAATTTAACTTAGATAGATACTTTATTCATCCCGAGGGAAATTCAAGTTCATTTTAATGAACAGTGACCGTTTTTACCACATAGACAACACTGTTTGTTTACTTTCAGCTCATAATATTTTAAGAAACCGTGTTGTCCTACAGTACAATTACCACGGTAACCATAGCAACGCGCTGGTCCGTCAACAAAACCCGTTCGGCTTTCGGTCCGTTTGAAAAGCTGCCCGTAGTGAAACAAGAACATTTTACAACTAAATGGACTTTAAAATTAGCTTAGTGTGAACGTGGACGAAGTAACAAAACTCTGATTATGTGCTTGAGTTTTTACCGGCAGCCTTAGATAGACAACCTTTGTTAACGTTGTGTAACCCGAAGAGACATAACGTGACAAGGAACGGTAGCAAGACAAAAGCTTTACGTTAACGTATGTCCGTGTCCGGCAGGCTGCCACTCTGCCCGAGCAAACTAGAACAAGTTGTTCTTGTTTGATTCAACCATGGACGCGGTTGTAAAATTCACAAGCCAAAGTCAAGGAAGGGACCGTATATTCAGGTAAGTTGTAAGAGGTTTTGTTACCTGGTCGTTCACCGTCGACGTTGTATTTTATTGGTGGATAAATGGAGTGAAGTTACTGAACAAGCGAGGAGCAAAGGCAGAGCTAACAACTAATTGGATGTCAACTTTCTCCCCTTCTTCTATCGGTCTTCTTTCTTTATTCCAGGGCAACCCAATATGCCTGTGCACTGTCCATATATTTACTTCGAAAGAACTCCGAAAGAAAGGACTGTGTGGCCAAACTTAAAAGTCTGGAAGCCACCATGAGAGCTGGACGAAAGTGTGAGTATACCTGTGACTGTACAGTGAAGGTTGGTTGTTCCTGCAACAATAAAGTATCATCATTAAAGAATAATACAATGAAAGGATTCTCAGCTGAGATAATGTTTTCTGAGTTTACCATATAAGTGCCTGGTGTAAAATTGTCCCCGCTCCCTATCCGTTGAATAGCATTTGCAGCTGATTTAACACGTACTGACAGTAACATCTTTGCCCTCCATTGTCCATAAAACAAGTCTAAATTCCCTCTTTTAGTGTTCTGATGCTACCTTTTATTAAGTTTTAAACAAAAAGGAGGACACTTTTTTTTACTTGCATACTTACTGACTGCGGGGCTGCAAATAATCATTACTTTTATTTGGACAAATCCCTTGATTATTATATTAATGCATTGTTTAGTGAGAAAAAAATGCCCAGGGTCACATTTTCAAATAATAATGTACAATTATATAAAACCCAGTAAAGATGCAAATCCTCACCTTTGAGAAGATTTATGTTTGCATGATAAATGATTTAAACAAAAAATCAACCATGAAAAATGTTGTTGACATACTTTTTTCAGTCATTTCACCACTAGCTCTATTTTTACATCCTGATAGTATAACTTGCTCTTCTAGTTTTCTCTGTTTGTACATGTTGTTAAGCAACTGAGTCTAAAGTTGGTTTACTTATTTTCCTACCTATTTAGCATTAGTCCTATGAACTTGCATGAGCAAATTGAGTTAAGTAAAGCCTGCCTCCTTTTATCATTATTCCATCCCTTTGTTGGTGCATATATAAAAGCACTGTTGTCTGATGCATAATAACCTGGAATCATTCAGTTCCTTTCTTCTTAAGTGCCTTGAAGAACTCGCTGCTGAAGAATAGAAAGGGAAATAAATAGAGCTTCCTCCAGTCAGATTGTTCTTAAGTGCCATTAAACATGTGATTACAAAATGCATATACCTTTTTATCTGTTATTTGTAAAAATGTGTACAATTGCATATTCCATAGCACTGGGTTCCCATGGTTGTGAAAATCAATAAAAGATTGTACAACATTTGTGCCCAGGCAAAACATACAATATTCAGCAACAGTTACGACATTTTAGAAACGGCACTAAAGAAGGATGTGTATTTTCAACTGTAAACTAAAAATTAAACAAGTAGTGTGGTGAAATGTAACTGAAATGGATAAAAGCACTAAACTTTGTTGCTTAACCCTCCAACCTACGCCAACAATGCCCATCTTTACCTCAAGAAATTGTTAGACAGAGGTGGCACCCACATTCTACACTACCTGTCTTGTGTTCAGTTTAATTAGTGGATGATGGAATAAAGCAACACTTACAACTCTGCATCAGATGCAGATGTTTGTGCTCTCTGAGTAAAAATTGCACTGAGATTTTTAAGTTTCAGTACAGTTTTGTCAATCTAGTATCCTCTATGTGCCTGTCTAATAAAAAAACAGGCTTATAGCTGTTTGTGGCTGTGCTGAAGTCTGAAGCTTTTTCCCCACAGTAAGATGAGGTAGACATTGTGTAGTTGACTGCACCAGCTGTGGCTTTAACACTGATGCCTCTAAGACCGGCCTTGACAGCTCATAGATAGTGAACTTTATATAGATGGTGAACCCACAGTGTTGGGGCCAAGGCTGGGCCATAGAGAACAAGGCCAGGGTCTGTTGTTGCACCACTCAATTATCTCTTGCCACGCATCACAGCCGCAGCCACAGGGTTCTCGTGCATCTATGCTTGGCCGGCCTTTCTTAGTTAATTGTCAGTGAAGGAGACATGCAGGTATCACAATTTAAAAACGGAGCTTGTAAGAGGCAAATTTACTTGTGATAGTGGCTTGTGAATGATGGGAATAAGATGCTTTCTGAAGGCTCCATAATGCAAAGAAGAGCCTCAGCTAGATTAGGTGCCATCACAGTATGTAAGCACACTGAATAAAGAGAGACAGTGACCTCTTTCCCTCAGAGGAACAAATGTATAGAAAGGTAAACGTTAGTTTGGTTCAAAGTAGCTTAACTGTATTCTGCTGTTCACAGTGGACTACTGCTATGAAATGTTGACCTGACATTTCATATTAAATTAATTACAGCTCTAATACCCTTTTTTTCTTTTCCTCCTTTTGTCAGTGTTCAGGCTGGGAAACACAATAAATTCCATTGAGGCTGCTAAGCGAACCATGCAACTCTCTGACCGAGTGCTGTGCCTGTGCCTCACTGTGGCCAACATCAACCGCGCCCTCTACTTTATCTGTGACAATGCACTTTGGGCCAGAAATGTCGGTCTTATCCGCGATATCGACAAGGAACGCTGGAGCCTAAATGCCTCTCGCTGCTACTTGCTCTCGCTAATTATGAGTCTGACCAGAGATGTTTATGTGGTCTTCCAGTTAATGGTACAGAGAGCAAGAGATAGACACTTCAGACAGAAAATGGATCAGCATCTCAGTGAGAATCCTGAAGTAGCTGATGTTGTCATTCCTCAGCTGGATGCTTTTCTCTTTCTGCTGTTGGACAGTCTAAAATCACATCCGGCTGTTGCCTTGGACACGGTGAAGAATATATGTGATCTCTTCATTCCCTTAGACAGGTTGGGTATATACCAGTCGAATGCAGGAGTGGTGGGATTTTGTGGTCTGATATCCTCATTTATTGGGATTGTGACCCTCGGACAGCCCAAGTTACAAATCAAACCATAATAATGATTGCGAAGATAAACCTGTTCTGACTAACTGCACGTAAAAAAAGGTTTACCGTGACAGGTTTTCAAAAGGATTTTGTGTTCTTTAGCTGGAGCTATAAATGTGGACTAATGTCTTTCTGGTGCATAAGGACATTAGGAAACACATCACAGGAACTTTTTGTAACATTTATGTTAGAATCAAGTATGTTTCACACCAAACTCAAGCCAGCAATAATTGAAAGGCTTGCAAGTTTCTGGGATGACTGGATTTAATTGGTTTTTAATAGATCTTTTATTAAATTATTAATTGATTGAATGATTGAACTGATAACATCATACTTTTGAAATAGACACAAACAATATATTCAATGGGGACCAGTTTAAAAGGGAGCAAATTACGTTTCTATAGCAACCTTTTATATTTTTGTAATTTAAAAGGGCCAAGGCTAAACCTTTGTGCAATCCTGTCTTCTACAACACCACATGTGACTAAATGTTTTGTAACTACTGTATTGTAAAACATAAGGGCTCCTCACTGATGCAAGCGTTTGCATTTCACCTGTCTTTTACAAAAAAGTAAGACCTCACTATGAATGGCATTGCCACTTTAGGTACACTGTCTTTCTCTGCTCTCTGTTCTGTGATAACATGCTGCTAAAAGTTTTACCTCTGTGATTCAAGTGATGAATAAGCTCCTTCTCAGACAAAAGTGCTTCCAAATGGAAAATGCAGCTGAGAGATTTCATCTGTTTATTTATATTTCATCCTGCCATTCAAGGCTTGGACTGGACTTTGACTGTCAGCAGATTAAGGTTAACTTAAGACATTATTGAGTAAAAAAAAAAAAAAAGTAAATTGTGTTACTATTTTAATGAGCCAAGATACCCTAGATAATGTTTCTACAATTGAATGGTTAATATATTGTCTAGAAATTGTGTGCTTGTGTATGTATGTTTGATACTGAGCAAACAAGTGTACAATGAAAAACTACAAATTTCCAACTTACTCTTGTAAATAATAATGGAATATCAATCCTTAAAGCTGCGGCTGCACATTTGATTAAAAGGTTAGCAAAACTATATTAAAAAAATGATGATTCAAAACTGTGCTTTTAAAAAAACTAAATGTTTGTATTTTCATGATGTTGATAGTCATTAACTATCAAAGTAGTGACCATTGGGATGGTTGTGGTTCAGTTTAAAAATAAAGTAACACTGCCCTCTTGTGGAAACATGACACCTTGTTGAATTGAAAAGAGCTTTATTTTTCAATTATACTGAGACAACAATACACTTTTTTTCTGAAAGCTTTTCTCAAGAGGATGGCATTGTGACAAAGCATCCACCATTTAAAAATTGCAAAAATATATTCAATTTCCCTTTCACCATACTTTTAAGTTTAGCAGTGAAAAAAACGTACTAGCTATGCAAAGATGAATCTCGTAAAAGGAAAAACACATACAAAGCTTTAAATAAAGAAATTTGTTCTCCTAGGTAGATCAATTGCAGTGATTTATAATGCAAAATGTTTGATTTCACATTTCCATCGGGGCGTTGTTTTTTCAGTACCAATAAATCAAATAAACACACCTGTTTGCTGGCCTAGAAATGGAAATTATAACCAAATCCAGGCTGTTCTTTCAAATATACTTGTAGACACTAACAAACATTGGATGCAGTTTAATATATGTCCTGGAAAAACATTGCATTTTTAAAATGTCATATTTTCATGTCTGAGGGAAAAAAATTCTACTTAAATATGATCTCATGTCAGTGCCAATACACTTAATACATTTTACAACTTAATCTAAAAATTATGAACAAAGCACTTTGAAAAGTGGCAACAGTGTGAAACTACAGATGTGTAAATACTGCTGGCCCTAGTTTTTTTTTTCTCCAGATACCAATGATAGTTACATGCAGAGTAAATCTGCTCTTTGAATAAAAAAGGCACCTTCAGTAGTTAGCTCCTGCAACAGTAAATAAAAAAACATCACAGTTAGCACTTGAGAAGCCCTATTTTTTAACCACGGTTTCCGAAAAACAACACGTTCACATGAATGATACATTTATGTTCATTCATACTATGATTGGAATGATATTTCTGTCACCCATAATGCAATTTTTCTGATTACATATTTATTGTACAATTGACCTATACTACTTTTAGTGGTAAATGGGAAGCCCTTAAATTCAATTAGTTCTGTAACTTGTTATTACTTTCAAGGTCTCACAGTCTAAATGGTGTTATGGAGGCGTTTCCATCATTAAATCGCCATTAAAAATGTTTCAGTACCTTTTTATGAAGGAAAAATTCTGTGAAACAAAAATGTATTATTTTCTATATGTAAGCAGGCCTTGTGGTCTTTTTGTTTTGTTTTGTTTACACACAATTAAACCATGCCTCATTGATTTCCAGATCCAGTACCAGAAATAAACACACAGTTGTTTTCACTTATTTTGACTGATCAGACATTTTCTCAAGTTGGTTGGAGCTATGTAGCACATTTGCTAAGCTCGTCATTAAGAATCACAACAGAGTGTGAGGACTGGTCCTGAGAAGAGACCCAAACAGCCAGAATAATGAGAACATTTCTGTAGGTGTACCGGAGCTTTAAGAACCAGCATTTCTTTAGCTCTGATGATACTTAATGCTCATGATTGATTAACACCATCTGAGCTTACAATTCTCCTTTTTCCAATAGTCAGTGCTAAATAAATATCATTTTATAGGAAACTTTCATATGTGCCAAGACAGAATAACTGTTGCTAATCCTTCAAACATCCCAGAATACCAAAGGTTAAAAAAAAACCATTTAACTTATGCAAAAGAGCTGCTAACTGAGTGACAATCAGCCCACTGAGTATTTGCATCGAGAACACAAGAGAAGCAAAGCACATTATTTTGTATATAGATTTCTGCAATGATTCATCTGATAGTGGTGCTTGATAGGACTGGACAGTGAATTAAATTCCTTTACAGTTCATGATTATCTGACGGATTATGAGACAACAAATGAAGCTAAAACAGAAAACGATTAAGACGCACATGGGGAAAAAAACAAATACTTAGATTAGACAACTGTTGCACAACAACTATCCAGTAACTGAACTTTCCTTCAAACTCAAAGACATACAGCAATAGTCTGATATCGCTCTGAACAATGCAGGCTAAACCCAAGAACAATTCAGAACAGGGATACCGTAATCTTGGAAATGTCTGAACATACATGTTAAGGCAATATTAGCTTCATTCTCCCATTTTAAGCCATCATTAAGACAACAGTTGTGAGTACAGCTACATTGATGCAAACAGCCAGCGAACACTGTAATCTGATCACTATTTCCTACTTCAGGCCACAGCTAATTAAGGTGAAATAAAAATACATGTTGTGGTTTTTCAGATATATTATTTGTACCTGCCTTGGTACAAATAATTCCAGAAAGTCTAAAATGAGTCTAAAAGCCTGGCTAGCAGCCTCCGAGGTCAGCCTGTTCTTTACACCCAGCTGAATCGAAGTTGTTTGAACTGAGTGGCTGACCCACAGTGCCATCCTCCCCGTGCTTCAGACACGGGGCTAAAAATCACACAGTCCAATTTGTTGAAGGCATCTCTGTCACATCCATATCAAATCCCTCATCAAGACTTCAACCAAAGGAAAATCAAAGTAAATCAAAATCTTTGGACAAGCTTGATTACCAAGATACATACCCTGTAAGCTTTTAAAACTGCATGTAGAGTGATGTTTCACAGAGCAATTTGTCATCATTCATCTACAGCGTAAATAAAGCATACTTACTGTGAGTACTGTATCAGTAAACAAACCTGTAACCTGAAGTCTTGCGAGTTGATAATGAAAAGGCAGTTCATGGTAGGCTACATGTGGGTGAAATTGACACTAACTGTGCACAAGTACTATCTTGAAACAAGCATTACGGTACTGGGAGGAATGGTGTTGTGTCATTCCAACATTTCTCAGAAATGAAACCGGACATTGGCAGAAAGCTACTTCTTAGGATCAAAGCCTGAAGAAACTAGTCCTAACCACATTATCGTGTAGGTTATTAGGTTTAAAACTTTGTGCGATACATTGAGATAAACCTTTGAAGGGTCTTGGTCCTGTAGAAATAGAAGTTTTATATGGATGATAAATTGACTTTGCATGTAGTCTGAAGAGAGATACACTGTTCATGGTAAGACCATATAATAATGTCGTTATGGGGTCTTATTACTGTAACAAATGAATAATTCATGTGATTGAATGTGTTATGTCAACATTTGACTTTCTATCAGCAAACAGCAAATAAACAAATTCCTCTGTATGTTAAATATAAGAGACTTAGAAAAAGACTTTAGTAGCATCTGTTTTCCCCTAAGATTGATTGTACCATCAATTTAATACTTTTTTTATAATCAACGCTTTTTAGTTCTGATAAAAGGATAGAATAAAAATGCAATTAAGGAAGGATCACATCTGTTTTGCATTTCAGAAAAAAATTGGATTTGGCTTTCCCTGTGTCATCTGACCATTTTACAGCAGAACGAAATCCAGCCATTACAGCGATAATCCTCATTGAAAACCATAACGTTAAAGGGCAATTGATCACGAGTCGGTGGTCTCAGCCCACTTTTGAAAAATAACCTTGCTCCTCGATTCCATTGACACTCGCAGGAGTAAAGTGAATAGTGTCTCAGCAACTCCAGGACCCAGCTGGGCAGTCTTTGGGTCCATTAGGAGTCTTTTGGTCCGGTCATATTACACCCTGCTGAGGGTAGACGCTAGTTACTAGGAAAATTCTTGTGCTCGGTCATAATCTGTGATCAGGCCTTTGATATGTGACAGTTTCTGATGGAGGTACTCGCATCGCTTCTTCTCTTCCCGATACCCAGGAAACTTCTAAAACAGAACAAAAAAAGGGGGGGCGTCAGTGAGCTTTCAGTAACACACATCAAAATCCAACCCGATAGGCGTCATGCAAAAACATTTTTGGATTCTTGTCATAAACCTCTTATTCGTTTGAGTGTTTCAAATAGGATTCAGCAAACCCTCTTAACTGCACAAACTTGTAATAAATTGCTTGTTTCAACCTGATGAATGCCACCTGTTCATGAGTAGCTGCTCATTTGTGAGATTTGGTCATTAGCATAATTGAAGCCTCCACATTGCTATATCCGGCTCATTTGTCCAATAGATTTGTGGGAAGATTTCACTCACAAAAATGTGACAAAAACACATTTGGGTGTGTCAGTAGGCCAGTGATATTACAACATTACCACAGCTATCAGAACCATGTCAGAAATACAGAAGGAAGGGGCTGACATGAAGTTAGATGCCAAATATCTTGCTAAAGCAAAACAGTCCATGACGGAGGTCATGAGAGGTGGTCCAGGAGACACGACATGACAAGTGGTAATACATTTTATTACAGGTAATGTTAAACTGTCAGATGCTTTAACAAACGATGTTCCCCTGGACAGCAAACTGCATATAAATCTTGACTGATGCAGAATATTCCGAGCAACTACGGAACTGTATAACTTGTGCCAAAATACTTAAATCTAAAAGGAAAAGGTTGTCCAACCTCTCAGTCAATTGACAAGCAATGATACACATCACACTGATAAGGTAAACAGAATATTAATATTACATAATGTTTTACTTTATTTTTGTTGATTGCAGTTACATATTTAGGCTTGGATCACTCAATAAATGTTTAAATGCAAGAAAAGTGGTAAATGTATAAGTTCTTTTAAATCTCTTGTATGTGCCATTTAAAGGAGTAGTTCTTGCACAAGGCCCAGTGTATAGCTACATGCTAATTGTCACATAAAATTATATAAAACTTAAATAATTCTTACTTTCTTATACTTTCGGTACTTTTGTAGTATTTGCTCCTCCATAAGCTGAAAAGATTAGAAAAGAAAAAGTGTTAGAATTCATGTATCTGATCTGTTCACTGTGTGACGTTTCATTAGAAATAGAGCAGTTAAAGGCTCCTGGTCCAGACAGTACCTTGTACTCTTGTGTTCCCGGGGAGAGAGTGTTGATCTTTGAGCCCAACTGAACAAACATCTCTGTAATAGCCCCAATACGGTCATGAAGAGCTCTATATTCATCGTACTCAGCACAGAAGTCATCCTTGTACTGTTGACGCTGCTCCAGTGCTGTTATGGTGCTATATTTTCTGAAGAAAGAAAACAAATGTGTTGAAAGCTGTTATTTAAAAGCTGAAGCG